AATTGCGTGACGGGATGAAAGTTCTTAAAAACTAAAACCACATACAAAAAAAACTCGAAAATCGGAGCCAAAAATTTTTGTGTCAAGACCCGGGTTGACCTCCATACAGCGAAAATGCTTATCATACAATTCCATACAACAAAAATCAATATCATACAAATCCATACATCAACTGTATGGAGAAAATGCTTGTCATTCAATTTTCATACATTTTCGAAAAACAATAGAAAAAAAATTAAACCATTTCTGCGGCTTTTTGAGAACAGTTGAACAGACTGGTGACAACAAAAACTGATTTAAAATATCTGTATGAAAGTAATTTTCAAAAATGCTGAAAATTCCTATTTGCTTTGTGTGGCGTGTTTATGTATGCCTTGATCAATGCCTGATAATTTGAAAACAAAAAATTTAAAATAATCATCACTGAAAACCTTTGCCAAAAATTAAAAGTTTGTTACTTTTGTTATATCATTTGTGAAAGACATCTGGAAGACAATTCAGGCCGTTTTTTATGCATTGTAAATATAAGACCGTCCAACCTTTGGTGCTTTGAGTAACCAAGGTCTTTGTCACGTGTGTTCAATTGCAAACACAACCCAAAATTTTTCAGAAAATAAATTTAGAAACAAAAAGCAACTTTTTGGTTAATGGAGAAAACACCTATCATACAATTTCCATTAATGGGAAAATGTTTATTATAAAGTTTTCACACAATTTTCTGTATGTAAGAAATTGTATGAAAAGAAATTTCTCATTTATGAGAATTGTATGATATGCATTTATGGTCAACCCGGGGAGCCAGTTAAATTTTTTTGCTGAATAAAATATCAAACAACAATATGACTAATACAGAAGTTTCACTTTGTTCTGTAGAGTCGAACTTTTGGAATTTAAGGTTAGAATCCCCCCTAAGTGACCCATGCTAGAATGCCCTCCACAAGCATGTTTTGATTCTGAAAAATAACTCTGTATAAAATACGCTTGTCATACAAACGCGCAAAAATAATTGTAGTTCAGGTGCGGAGTTAGCGGGGGGAGGCGGCGGAGGAAAACGCCCCCCCCCCCTAGGAACTCGACCCCCTGCTGACACAAAGGGTACCCCTTTGAACTAATTTGAGGTTTCCATTTTTGGCTGACGGAACTTAAAATTTTTCTAAAGGCGCCTCTGGCGCCAATATATGATAAATTTAAGGGGAAGCGCGCGCCAAAAAAACGCAGTTTTTTGGTAAAAAATTTCCAAAAAAAGCCTAAAAACGCCTTTTTGGCCTGTTTTTTTTTCAAAATTTTGCCTGCGGTGCTAAATTTTTGCCCAAAACAACTTTGTGAGAGCTCGTAAAATCAATTTGCTCGACCTAAAAAAAAGCCAACTAAATTTCGAAATTTTTTTGAAAATCCGCCCCCCCCCCCCTCGGGAAAATCTTAGATCCGCCCCTGACCTAGTTTATTATTTTGATTCAATTTTCTTTAGTAATACGGGTGATTTTGAACGAAGCTAGAATAGACTCAAAGTGAGCTCAAGAAAAATCCATTTTTTCTTCCCCCTAGATTGCTTTGGGGGGAGGGGAATTGTACGATTGATCCGATTAATGAAACGGCCAAAATTTAAAATACATTTTTTGCGGGATTGAGTGAGCGTTTGACAAAAAATAGACAATTCATTAGAAATAAATCCGATAAAGCCGATAAGTTGAGATAAAAATTTTTAAAGCAGAAAAATCTTCAAAAACCATTCAGGGACAAAAATTGACAAGAATTTGAGTTTAAAATCTGAAAAGGTCAACCAGTAGCAGATTTAGGCGGGACGCCGTCCCTCAGGGATTCGAACCACTTACCAACCAATTGGATGCCTTTTCAGCTGACCAACCCTACAGCCTTGAGCGCCTCCAGCCTTAATTTTGAAGGGGTTGCGCGATTTGTTGGACAAAACTTTCTTAAAATATCCCGCTATAATACCATAAAGTTAGCCCAGTTAAGAAAAAGTAGTAAGTTTTTTGAGCAATTTAAAAAGCACCCCCATCCAACCCTTCCCACCAAAAAATCTTAGATCCGCCCACATAAAAAACTTTTGTTAGTCACACTTTTCCAGAAAGTGCTTAAAAACAATATTTTTGGCCTTTTTATCGGCCCGCCCGCAAGCTTCGTCAGCGTTGTACAAAGTTTGCTAAGATCTTAATCGAAAGGGCAAAAAATGATTTGAATTCCCCCTAATCGAGATTATCCTATATCCGCGCCTTTGTTCTAGCCAGATACGTTACTTTAATCAAAATTTTGGTGTCTGTTAACTCGGACCAACAACTAGGTATGAAATAGAAACTCTTATTCTAAATTTATAACTATTTCTGAAAGAGTTGTTTCACATTTAAGACTAAAAATAGTTTTAGAAATCGAAGATAAAATGAGAAATTGATCAAAAAATGTTGAAATGTATTCAAACTGACTTCAAACTAAATACCACAACATTTTAATTGAAGGTTTTTGAGCCCGTTTTCTCAAAATTTTCTCACTTTGTTTTTAAATTGCACTCAAATCACAAAACGACCGTAGCATTTATCTTCTTATTATCAACAATTTTGTATCTCAACAATTTTGTATCTCAACTAAAAATTTATATAAATTGAAAAGATAATTTCAATCTGAAAATGAATATTTTCAGGTACTTTTTTGTCAAATTTAGAGAGTCGTTTGAAACTCATAAAATCAATTGAAGCACAATTGAAACATTTTTAGCATAATCAGTCTAACCAATATAACTTTCATTGTGGGACACGATTTCGAGTAGAAAAAAAACAGACAGATGGCCTTACTCCGTTTTCATTTGGTGCTGGGTCCCATAAACGAAAAACAAGGTCTATCTACACTAAGCGTTTAAAACATCTCGGAGTAATTATATGTTTTATAGATCAAAAATTCTGTACCTTAGACATCAGATAACACCGAATGCTAGTAAAAAATAATTTTGGTTTTTAATTTTACAATATAGTTCCTTGAGGGTTAATTTTTTTCCTCTGCATGGCGATTCAAACTCATTTTTCTATACCGCCATTTTTTGAAGCAAATTCATATGACCTAAATTTGTATGGAATTGAAAGGACATTTTCAATGCCCGATACTTTGTTGGGAATTATTTCTTGACTTCTAAATCACTGCTGAAAGTGCTGCGCTAGTATCCGCTAAGGCAATTTTCCTAAGGTTTCGGATTAAAGTCGCACAAGCGCTGCAACTTGCATGGTAATCGGGTCCAAGATAGCCGTAGCTTGAGGAACTTATCATGCTTAAGTTCGTTCGGATCAATTGAGCAATCTCCCCGCCAATCTCGCGTGGGGGGGGGGGGGGGGGGGGGGAGATTGATCAATAGCTACTTGAGACTTGTTTATAACCACTTGAAAATAGTTTGAATGACATGAAATCATAAAACATATTTTCCAACGACTGTGGAAAGCCAAATTTTACAATATAAAAGCTTAAAAGTTTCATTCAGATTGAAAAAAGAATCAATAAAAAAAGGCATAAAAAGCGACTTTTTTTCTTTCTTAAAATGACAAAAATCTTTAGCGTACAATATTAAGGTGCTGCGGAGAGCCGTTTTTTGCTATTCAGATACAAGACTAGAGCAACAACCCTGGTAAATTGCTTTCCTCGATGAGGCTATGGTCACTAAAACAAAAGTTTGCAAAAAAAATTTTTTCATAAATTTCGATTTTTTTTTTTTTCAATTTTTTTTTCGATACTCATACAAAATAAACTTCAGTCGGTTAACTGATTGCGTGCTTTAAACACATCATCCATCTACTTGCGTTTGCTGAAGTCTTTATGTAGAGTTTTTTCGTTTTTGCTGGGGGGGAGATAGCTCAATTGATTCGTTAGTTCTAATTCAACTTTAAATAACTAACCTCTGGGTAACGCCTCTGGCTTAGTTGACAACAAAACGTGTTCTGAACAGAGCTCTATTTGTTCTAAAAAAGAAATAATTGCGATTGGAACAAATCAGATTAATACTGGGATTCCATCTAACCCAAATACTGATCCAGTATATTCCGCTTTTAGTGAATTCATGCGGGAAGTATTTGAGATGAGTCAAAACTGTAATCGAAACATGAGGGCATTTTTTTTTGAAAATATGGTGCTACATCTTTCTGAATAGCTGGTTAAATACAAGATGTAAATATAAACGCTATACTAGATATATACATATATGTAAGCGGAATCCGCAAACAAAATGCGGATTCCACTTACAATTTGCGGATTCCACTTACAATTTGCGGACTTCGCTTACAATTGCGGATTTCACAACAGCTTAATTTAAGCAATTTTGAGCGTTATAGTGTTTTAGGTGTTTGTTTGTGGAATCCAAAAAAGCAAAGAAGATCAGAGAAAAGTAGCAATGTAGGGGATTCCGCCGCGACAAATTTGGTTTTGGCTTGTTGCGGATTCCGGTTACAATACATACAACGCACAGTTTGGCCTCGTAATTTGAAAACTTCAAAAATTTTGAACTTAATATGTAGATAAAAATGATATCACGAGCTCTTCTAAAAAACGCATCTTTTACCATATTTTCAGCGTGGCAAACGAAGTCTTCCCTCTTTTTCAATTGACGAAGATTTGAGTCTGCCGCTGGCTTAAATCCTAATTAAGTAAAAAGTTGTTTACTGAGCTAATTTTACTCAAACTATTTCACAAAAATTGTTTTCTTATTATATGCCTATATTTAACCATGTGATTAAAAAACTTTAGGTGTGAAAGAACGAAAAAGAAGCCATTAAGTTTTATGTGCTGATTTATGAACCCTTTTCCCCCTATTTCGATAGATATCTTTTTGCAACTACTTTAAGATTGAAATTTTATGGCTTTACACTTTTGTAGAAAGAATCTTTTTGAACCTAAACTGTTCTTTTATGTCTCAGTTTTATTGCCTCATAAAATTTTTTCCTTGGTATCTTGCACAAGCTTTCATAAGTATGTTTATAGTTATAAAACCACAAATCGTAAAAACAACTTACCAATATTCGTGTATTGATGCGATGCAGGTAAATACGTATAAAAATAACTGAGTCTAAGGATTAGATGAAATCTCTAAACGACTAATCCGATTTTTTGTTAAAAGGAAAAATAGAAAAAGACAAAGGACAAAGATGGGATTGAATATATTTTACTATTCAGGTTCGACCTTTTTTGAATTTTGTGCTCAAGTCTAGTTGAGATCAAAAATTGAATCAGTTTAACGTTTGAGATCTTATTGACAAATGAAAGTCGTTTTTTATTAAAGCAGCAAAATAGAGGGCAGATTGTATATCGCCTAATCCTTTTTATTACAGACGGAATAATCTAAAAGAGACAGGAAAAGCAAAAAGTAGAAGAATTTTTGTAACAAAATCAGATAAGTATTGTCGTTTAATAGATACCCAGATAGTTACCAAGAGCGCGGCTTCATTTTCACCAACTGTATCAAAAAAAAAAATGAGCGTCAATTCAAAAAGACTTACGATTTGTGATTTTGAAGGACAGCGGCAGAAAATGCAAAGTAATTTTTTATGATTTTGAATGCATAAGATTGCTCGCTTTTATGTATAATAATTTTTATCAGTTATTGTGAAAACAAGTGTAACTAATAAGGTGGATTTTTTCAGATTTTTTTTCTTCAAAAAATAAGGTACATTTGCTTAGAAAAAATTCGATTTGATGAGCTGAATAATCTATGTAGACAGGAAACACGATGAAGCAATGAAAACTTACCATCCTTATTTCACGACCACTGA